ATTTTTTTTCCAGCTCTGTTGTAGAGAAATATATGCTTATATATATGTTAATTTTGTAAATAATTATTTATACTTATACAATTAAGCTAATGAATGGTGTTTTGACATTACCCCATTTCAACTACAATTATGAAGTGTTTGATAGAATGTTAAACGTACTAATTCAAATATTTGCTAACTCTTCATCTATTATATATGTCACAAATATACACACCTCATAGAGTCAATTTAGAGGCAACTATGAAAAGCATAGATATATAGTAATCTAGACGCAACTATAAGAACCTTTTTTATTGTTGATAAATATAAAAACCTATTACATGCTGATATAAAATTCTGGCCGTTAGAGGTGGCAAATTGTGCTCTGATCCGGCCCGCAACATATTTTTACAATTAAATTAAAATTTCACCTTATTCTTTTATAATTAAATTCCTAAAAAAGATTTCAATTTTTTAAAATAAAAATTTATAAAATTCAAAATACTAAGGACACAAATACTTGCAAAAAATAATTATTTATATAAAATGCTGATAGTTAGAGGTGGCAAACTGAGTTTGGCTTGGAGGACCGGCCCGCCAACAAGTTTTTATAAGTAAATTAACATTCCACCTTTTTCTTTTATAATTAAATTTTTAAATTTGATTTCAATTTTGTAAATACAAATTTGTAAATAAAAATTTGTAAAATTTCAAATACTAAGGCCACAAATTCTTGCAAAAAAAAAATTATTTATTCTTATTATAATTACTCAATTAAAACGAATGATCATTCAATGTTTTGCAGTATATTATTGTTTTAATGCTATTTATGATTAGTTGTTTCCAACTCAGTGAGTAGTTGACTTTTCATATTGTTCACCAAATTGTTATTGGTATAGTTGAAGTATTATAGAGATTAAATACCATGCATTAAATATATGCTTATTTTGTTTACCATAAAAAAAAAATATATGCTTATTTATATTTTAATTTTATGAATAATAATTTATCCTTATGCAATTAAGCTAATGAATAATCTTTTGATATTACAATATTCAACTTCAACTATGAAGTGTTTGTTAAAATATTAAATGTAATAACTCAAATATTTGCTAACGGTTCATCTAATATATATTTCTCAAATACATGTCAGAGAGTTGATTTAGAGGCAACTATAAAAAATATAGATAAATAGTAAACTAGATGTAATTATAAGAACCTTTTTGTGTGGATAAATATAAAAACCTATTACATGGTGGTATAAAATGCTAACAGTTAAAAGTGGTAAACTCATGATCATTGCAATCCAAAAACTTGTGCTAAGGCCAAATAATGTGTTGAAGATGACACTGAAATCAAGTAAATATTGATAATTATATGAAACCGCACAATAGTGCTTAAAAGAAAGCATCCAATTCAATTGACATATATTCCTACATTGTGATAGCCCTATAACTATAACAGGTTTTTGACCATAATGTCCCCAAAATATAGAGGTCCCGAGCTCCAATGCAATGCAGATTGTACAATATTTTTAATCACACATACATCACTAATAAACACCTTATAACAATGATAAAAAAAACTTACAATGGAAAAACTAAAAGTAATCTTACCCACTTAACCAATGTATGAACCAATATCAACCTCTATTTTTGCAATAATAAAATCTCTTACCTAAGAATAATTGTTGCATTGTCGAGGATGATATATTATGTGCACCCATAAGTTAAACATTAAATAGTAGTTGATTTCTTGACTATCTGATAACAAATGGGAAACCATAAACGAAACCAATAAGAAATTACAAATTGACAATAACACATTCCATCAATAGCGGACCTAGAAAAAAAATTTAATGTCTGCATATTTACAATAAAAGAATAAAGGAAAAAAATTAAAGAAAATTTTAAATATATTAAAATCAAAAGAATATATAAAAAAAAGAAAATTTTAATTTAATATAAAAAAATAATCAAGAGTCAACTAAACTATTACAATACAATATTTTGGGTCATCAACAAAAATTATGGGCCTCAATTTAATCTCTTAGGGAAAAAAATCTACTCGTGATCCCTCAGAATTCAAAAATAGATCCAGATAATCAAAATCATGATCCCCTGAAATTCAAAATGACCCACATTAATCCCTCAAAAGGACTAAAATGGGTTTATTTTGGAATTTAAAGGGATCATAAGTCAACTTTTTTTTAAGAGATTAAATTGGATCCTATAATTTTTGTTAATGACCCAAAATATATTTTATTCTTTTTTTTTCAAAAAATTTGTGTGTGCACTTGCACACACTTACACTAACCTAGGTCCGCCACTGCATCCCATACTTTGCAATTATCAGTCACACTGCAATTCATAACTAATTAATCTATAGAATCAAACACTGAATCGAACCCCAAATATCCTGAATCTAGAATGGGAAGGTTATGTTCTTACTCTGTTTTCACCACCTCATCTTCTTTTTCTTGCTCGAAACATAGACAACACCAAAGCTTTGATGCTTGGAGTTTGAGGGCAAGAAAACCTTAGAGAGCTGATTTTTGATCATGCAAATTTTGATTTGAAATTCAAGGAACCCTAACCGTTGACAACAAAATCGATTTCAAAAATCGAGTTGTAAAGAAATCGATATACCAAAGAGTGAGGGTGGACATAGTGAAACAGAGAGAAAATGGAGAAGAAAGATTTAGAGAAAGAAGAGAGGATTGAATGGATGTGAGCAAAGAATAGATAGAAAGTTGATGGATAAAGTTTTAAAGAGAGAGACAAGAGAGGTTTGAATAAATATGATTGTAAAAAGGAATTGATAAAGGAGAAAATATTTTAGAGAGAAAAGGAAGACATGTGACAAGATATTAGGACAGCGTGGTGATCCCCGAAAATGCCACAATGTACATAATTATTGGGGGGGGGGGGGGGTTTATTAATCTCTAGAAAATAACCTCCACAAATGACACATTTTTTTAGTGCCTATTAACTATAGTTCCCTTTTCATCATGGGTCCATAGGTTTAAAATGTAACTAATATAGTTCCTTCCTTTTGGTAGAGTAACTAATATACAATTATTTCTTATTATTTAAAATTTTATCTCAATGTAAATTTCAAAAATTGTTGTTACAATAACCCCCTCTGGAAACAATAATTTTTATCAATAAAGAACTCTGACAATTCACAAATAATGTTCCGAATAATCATACCCAAAATAATATGAAAAATCTTATAACGTCTTTTCAAAATTCTTATTGTATTTATTTAACTACAATTTATCCCACAAATTTCAATCCACAATATCAACAACTATGTACCGTAGCTAACTAATCAAACTTAATTGATAGAGTACCTAAAATCTAAACTAAATTATGAAGTAAGTACTAATATTATAATCACCGCAATCTATAATAATTTTTTCATTAATTAGAATTTGACAAGAACATGTATATTTATACGTGTTAAGAAATTAAAATAAGTATTTTAAGAACACTGAACATGAAATTAGGTAAGCACTCTTACAAATTGATTCAAAGAAAAAATAAACAGAATAATAAAATAGGAATGCATTTGAAGAAACTATAGGGCAAGATACAACTTCAATTAAAGCAAGATATCATAATGAGACCAACATAATAGTACATTCCCCTTTAGGTAGAATGCACTAACCAATGTTGTAACCAAGGTCAGAACCTTGGATGAGTTAATAAGTGAGCACAACAAGTTATCATATAAAGGTTAGCATAATAATATATTCCCATTAGGCAGAATACACAAACCAAAGTCTAAACCAATGTCACTTAACTAATTGGGCTTTATACTGCATCCCCATATATATCATGATTTAATTCTTTTTTTATTAAAACAAGAAAAATACAGTTGATTTTAACCCACAAGTAATTACAAAAAATTCTAATAGTATAAACTAAACTACCATTCAAGGCAATTCCATCAGTTTGCGATATTCAGCAAGAGCCCACATTGGAAAAATATTTCGATACATTACATAATGCATAACGCAATTCCTCAAGAATACGCCTGTGGATTCCTGCTGCCATAAATTAATTAAAGAAATAATTAATAACTAACAAGTATATCATGTATTGTACGGATATTTGTTATTTCCGATAAAAATCAAAATATGAATTTAAAAAACAGAAAAATATTTTGCAGTTAATGCAGATAAATTATCTGCATTTACTTCCAAAATGACGTCGTTTTGGGATTGAAATATTAGAAAATTATAATTATAAATACTATGATAACCCTGAAATAAATTAAAATTACAAAAATACCATGATTTTTGTCTCAAAACGACGTCGTATTGGGCTTACTGCAGATAAGTGTACGTACAGATAACTTATCTGCAACAACTGCAAAAAAATGAACCCTTTAAAAAATATGTAAAAGAAAAAAATTAAAATTATAAATGAGATATATATAACCAATTCATGTAAAACTTTAAAAATATAGAACAAAAGAGAAGAAATATGTAAATTATAAAAAAATTGAATATGTATAATTAATTCAAAGAACTTGAATTTACTTTAAAAAAAAAATTAAGAATAACATATGCATATTAAAATATTTAACTATCCTTAAAAAGGATCAGCTCTGATTTAATGCACAAAGATGGATATATAAATAAATTGTATTCTTTTAATAAATTAAGATTAAAATTTGAACATACCATATGACTTTGGGTTTTTTGATTTTTAGGATTATGTAAAAATATTATTAAAAGTAAGTATAGATTAATGTTTGCTATTCTGCATGAAGACATACGTAGAAAAAAGCCTTACTTAAATGACATCAGGTGGGAGCTATAAGCCTATAAGTGGTAAAATATGTCATGAGTCTCATGACTCGTAAGTTGATTTTTAGGATTATATTGCGATTTATGTAATGTGATTCATATGTTATGAGTATTTTCATTCAATTATATAATTTTTTATTTAAAATTTAAATTTTAAAGTATATGTAATTTTTTTTATTTGGTAAATAAAGTATATGTAATTTTACTCATCACAAATAATCCTTGCTCCGCCATTAAATGACATCAAAGGGTAGACCGATACCTGTTGTGGCCAATCACCATCTTCCAGTTGAGAATTGATGAGTAACTTTGCTGCATGATGAAGAGGAATTGGGTCTCTCTTATACTGCATAGAAATTAGAAAAAATAAATAAATTATTTAACATTTTTTTTTGAATTATGATTAAGAAAGTGAATTAGATCGGTCGGACGCAGAGGCAAAAAGTGAATTGCAATTTGCAAGAAATAAAAAGTAGACCTGTCGAGAATAAATGAGAGCCATCAGAGCCCATGCAGTTTGTACAATATTTGAACGATTTCCTTCAAGGGGTATGTATATCTGCATCATCCAATTCATCAAACCACATTCATAAAGGGTAGTTAATTTATAAATCATTCAATAAATCTATCTATCTACCTTTTTGGGGCATGATAGATGGCTCTCCCTCCACCCACCATCCTTTCTCTGTGTTGCAAGAAGAAACTCTACTGCTTTTCGAATTGCAGTGCAATTGGAGTAAGTCTTGCCACCTGCTGCAAGCCCTGCAACAACAAAGTATGTGCCATAAATGAAGCAAACTCCCCATCTACCATACCATGAACCATCAGTTGTTTGGGTATCCTCAATGAATCGAACTGCCTTAATAATGGAATTCTCGATTTCTTTCTTCCTATGATCCGGATATAGTTTCTTAAACAAAACAAGAGCCCCAATTGCCGATGCAGTACATTCAACATATTCATGCTCAACTACAATGTCCTCAAAAAATTCTGTGGGATTGAGCAACTGAAATGGTTGACATCGCAGATTAATTAATTGATAGCTAGTCACCGTTCTTGAAATAGATAAACAAATTTCATTCTTATTAGTTGAGATGAATGACTAAGATTAAAATTGAAGTATATATATATATATAGGGCTTATCGTTTCTCAAGCTGTTTGCTTGAGATAATTTTATCTCTGGCTACTAAATCATAATCGTACAAAGATTGATCAATGGTGATAAAGGAAGAGAGAGAAAATGAAAATCATAACCATTCAAAGGTGAATCAATTAATATAAGGAAATAAATAAATAAAACGACGTAGTTTTGGGGTAGCCGGAGATAAACTTATCCTAAGCTATTTCAGAAATATTTTTTACATATATATATATATATATATAAATAAATATATATATATACGGAGTAGGTTATTGCAATATATTTGTGTGTGCATGGATTCTCGAGGTTTATGTCTTATATAGTGAACTAAATCACAATGTGAAGTATGGATTTGTTTCCCAAGTGGGTAAAATATGTGGATATGAAGGTGATAAAAGAGGCAGCAATATAACTCTAAGATATATCCGTTTTGCCTCAAATATGCTGAGAGTGCACAAGGAAGATGGTGTGTAAGGGCTACGATTTATGACTGTGGAGAAATTTCAGCACTATTTATACGCCGCTCTGTTGTGTCTCCTAATAAGAGAAAAATCTAGGCGGTCAAAAGGGACTATGCACTTTTTTGGCTTTTATTCCAATTCTTACTAGAATTTTAAAGAAGAATATTTCAAAATATTTCCTGCCAAATGGGTTGCCATTTCCTTTTTTACAGAGAAGCGATGAATCTCTATTCCCCCTTTACTAGATTGCCCAACATTAAAATGAGGAAGACAAATTTTACTATGTCCCCGAGGGTAAGCTTACTAGCCAAATTTTGTTTATGGAAAGGGGGGGGAGATCAATTGCAAACTCTTGGATGAGGGTTCTGACAATAAAATACTTGAGATATTGCGTGCGTTTGATTGTTTCTTTGGCTTTCTTATTGTACTTTTAGGCTTTGTTTGAGAGTTAGTTTTAGAAGGGGAAGGAAATGAAAGAGAGGGTTTTAGTAAGTCTTTCCCTTGTTTGTGAGTTTAAAAAAATGAGGGGAATAAATTGGAGATTTTTACTAAACCCTCTAAAACCCTCATTCTTCTTAAAATTAAAGTTTCCCCAATTTGGGGGGTTTAAGGGAGAAAATATTAAAAATTACTTAGCATTAAAATGTGAATAATTTTTAAATGTAACATTATTAAAAAAGTCTCAAATACCGACAAAATTTATCGACGAAAAATATTTCATCAAAAATAGTGATAAATTTTTTGCTGAAAATTATATACGTCAAAAAATTTCCTTCAAAACTAAAGACGAAATTAGAGATGAAACAAGATTTTGCCATAATCACTAAAATAAATTTTTTACGGAAAAAAATTCAATCAAGATTATTGATAGAATCTAAATTCCGTCGAAACTTTCAACAAAAATATTTTCGTCCAAAATTTTGACAAAACACATTTCCATCGAAAAGTTTCGACGTAAAACAATTACGTCAAATTTTTTTACTGAAAACATTTCCATCAAAATCTGTGACTAAAAACATTTTTGTAAAAATTTGACGGAAAATTTATTTTGTCAAATTTTTTTACGGAATCTAAATTTCATCAAAACATTTCCCTAAAATTATTTCACAAAAAACATATTCATCAAATTTTTTGACGAAAAATATTTTCATCAAAATTTTCAACGAAACACATTCCATCAAAAATTTGTGACGGAAAAAAATTTCATCAAAATTCTTAAAGAATTCAAATTTTATGTTAGAGATTATGGCAATATTCGGTCAAAATTATTTACAGAATCTAAATTTCGTCGAAATTTTCGAATGAAACATTTCCCTCCAAATTTTTGACAAAACAATTTCCGTCGAAATTTTTGTTAGAACACATTTTCATCGAAATTTTGAACGGAAAACATTCCATCAAAATTTTTTACGGAATTCTTTTTTCGTTTAAAACATTTGATGGAGGAAATCATTTTCCTCAAAACTTTTGGCGGAAACTAAATTTTGTCAAAAATTTTAAAAATTTTCATCTGAGAAAAAATTTCGTCGCTTTCCGGAGAAAAAATAATTTTATGACGAAATTTTTGTCGTTTGCATTGTAGAAATTTCGTTGAAAATATGATATTTTTTAGCAATGAGAAAAGTACATAAATAATTTTGTTAGAAATTTTAAATTTGATTTAATTTGTAAAATATAATAACTATATTAATTTTTAAAAAAGGTTAAAATGGTAAAAATATGTCATCATCCCTTCATTTTTCTCCCTTATCATTTTTTAACTCCCAAACAAGGAAAGTGAATTCCCTCCAATTTTCCTCCCTTCCTTTCCCTCCTTCACCCTTGAATCCCCTTTCTTCCCTTCCCATCTAAACTCTCAAACAAAGCCTTAGTGTTTTATATTTGTATTTATCATATGTGATTGATTTGTGCATTACTCTACAGGGGAAAGATGGACATATTCATACTTGCCTGCTTGGCGAACGCTGGAAGAGACCGAAACTCCCTGGACTCAAATTACGGAAGTTGTCCCCTCAAAAGCATGGTGAGGGAAGATCTTCCTCCTGCCAGCGGTGAAGGAGAGAAAGCTATCGCCAGATTAGGCGGCAAGATATTGGACGGGATCGTTGGCCAGAAATGATTCCCACTCTTGGATTTACTCTTGTGGAGGATGACGCATCCACGGGGGATGACGTTCTGGTCATCGAAGAGACTCCTTGTCTAGCTTTAAAGAGGAAGAGTTCTATTTTTGCCCGAGCGAATGAGAATCTAATGAAAATCAGGAGAAAGACGGTTGCTAGGAGCTTTTTGAAATTGCTAGTGAGTAATGAAGAGCGAAATTTTGACCATTCCTTGGAGCGCAAACAACAGCTTCCCGAGATGAACGTGTTTTGTTGGAAATTTATTTAAAAGTGGACTTAAGTTGTAATTTTGAACCCAATGTACATGAGCCCCAGAGCCAGTATTTATGTTTTCTTTCCTTTTATTTTGGGTTGGATTTTTAGAGCCTGAATCCCAGCTTGATTAGGGGTTAAAAGGGGAGAGTAAGGACCTTGTGGATCATCTTTCGTTTGAATTTGAATTTTACAGGTTTGAAATTAATATAATTTTTGTCTTTTCTCTTCTTTTTTCTTTAATCAACCCAAGGGTTGAGAATTCCATGGTTGAATCCTGACGACCCGCGCCTCATTTTGAACCAAATATGTTTCTCTTTCCAACTCGGTTTGACATCACGCGATTGCGGGTGTTCAATATGAGATACGCAATTGCGTTCTTGGGAAAGAGATTAACCATTAGATTTAATGGTTAGGTTGATTAATCCAATGAACTCAAGTTGAACAGGTTGATACTACGTGATTGTGCGAGTAGACGCGCCGTATTCGACCAAATGCTAGGCGATCGTCTAGAGAGGGGTTTCTAAGCGAATGCAGGGATTCCAATTCGATTAGGGTCAACCATGATTTGGTAATTATTTGTCCAATGATGGATATTCTTGGAATCCTAATTCTTGGGTTGGTTGCTTTTAATTTGATTATTCTCTTTTTTTTATTTTATTTTATTCCGTTTAAATTGATAATCATATTAAAAAAAACCCCATTTTAGTTTTCATTTTTCTTTAGTTTCCGTTTCTTCTTAGTTTCTCTTTTATTTAGTTCCCATTTTTATTTGGTTTTCGTTTTCATTTTGTTTCCATTTTACTTTTATTTTTATTTTTATTTTTATTTTTATTTTTCTTTTGATGCGATTAAGCTCCTTGCAAACTTCTTAAGAGACGACTCAGGTTAATGTTTTACTATAAAATTTCAATAAACCTGATTTAATTAATTTGCATGAGTTCGACAGCTCGTTTCAATTACCAAGTAATACCATGCATTAAAGCAAAAATTACAAATGAACATACTTAGGTTGCTTTCAAGGTAGCAACTAAACGAACATAATCAAGTTATCAACATCACTTAATGAACCTTACAAATATTACAAGTCAGAAAGTAAATTTGTTTTATAAGGCAAAATTTAATCATATTATAATTTTAAGTAGACACACATTTAATACTATTATCAAGTATACTACAGGTGACTAAAGTCAGCACTGTCCATAACTTTATAGGTAATGGAAAGAAAATTACAGCTACTTCTTTTGATCTTTCGGAAGTCTGAAGTCTGAGCAGATTTAGAAGGTATCTTATTCAGTAGGTATGCTACAGTGCTTGAGGCATACCCCAAAATGATTTTGAGAGTATTGTCTCACTCATCATGGACCTAACCATGTCCAACAAGGTTCGATTCCTCCTTTGGAGACATTTTTCTGGTGTGGCATATAGGGCACAGTAAGCTGCGGGAGAATCTCATTCTCTCTTAAATAATCCTGAAACTCACTACTCGGATATTCGTCGCCACGATTTGATCGTAGTGTCTTAATCATCTTGCCATGTTGTTTCTCTACCTCACTCATATACTCCTTAACTTTTCAAAGGCCTTAAATTTATGTCTCATTAGGTACACTTACTCCTATATTGATCTTTTTCTCCTTTCTCATTTTTCATGCAACTCTTGCATCCAATCCAACTGTCTCTATCTTTTTTTCTTCCTCTCTCTTTCTTGTAACGATCGTTCTTTTTTGCATGATTTTGGAATTCCCATTGATTTATATCATGATAACAAATTTGCTGAAAAATGGTAGTGGTTGCCCTTTTTTTGGGAATATTCCACCTAGTGCAAAAAGCGAAAAGTTAGTGGACTTGAAATGATGAGAGTACAACTCAGTTTTTCTACTTTTAATAATATTATGTGGCTTTCATAATTTTCCTTCTTTTTCTCCCCAATAGGCCTATTTAATGGGATTTTTCATAATTTTATCCTAGAATTTGATAATAAAGAGGAAGATTTTTTGAACAAGCAACCACAATAAATGGAGATATAATATAGACCCAAAAATCTGCTTGCGTGTATATCCATGATATCATGAATTGATTGGTTAAGGTTCATTGGCCAACAGAATATGATATGGACTTTCCCTTGGAGGGATTTATCCAAAGAGGTTTAGAATTTAGGAGTTCCATATGGACACTCACTTGAGGTATAACTAATTTGAGTGGTCCTAGTGTACTGAGTACACATAGAGCATTTATGTTTGTATAGGTTCATTGGCCAAAATATTATGGCATGGGCTTCCATTTGGGGAATTATCCTAAAAAGGTCAAACTCTTGGAAGTCCACGTGGAACTTGTTTGAGTGATGACTCATCAAGTGGTCCTAGTGCACCGGGTGCACGAATTAATTATCTTTAGGTTGCCTTAATGTATATATAAGGTTATACTATGCCATGTGTATTCTAACCTTTCTTATAGGGAAGTGAACTTAAGGGTGGAGGAATCTCCAAGAACCCTTAGTTTACTAAGATTTTTATCTCACTCTAGTTAGAGCTATGTGATTTTAGGTCCTCAAGGAGGAGTAAGTAGCACTTCAAGGGGAAAGGAGCATGTATAGTTCTCTTAAATATTGCATATGTTTGACATGCTTATTTTGGGAGCCTATGTATTTGGAAAACCATTTTGAGAAAAGGAATTACATTTTGACAAAGAGTCGTTAATATGTTGTGCATTTCTTTTGGTTCAAGCATGTATTTTTGGTTTGTAATTCAAGTGAATTGAAGCATGTATATATGATGTCAATTATGTCAAAATGCTATGTTTTGAAATTAAGTATTGAGCTAAGTTGATGACATGATGGATAATGTGGATGTTTCCTGTAACACCCCACGTATACCCGATTTGTTATCATGTCATCGTATTAAGCTACACTTAATTAAAATTGCAGAATATCTTTTTCTTTTCAATTATGACGTCATTAACATTAACCAAGTGGATTACTTAGTTCTCTTTCAAAACATTGCCTGTATGTAATTGCAATTAAACAGCTATATATACTGAATAACCTCATAATATAAAATAAGTGAGTATCTAAGTCACGGATCTACAACACGTAGTCCGGACAATATCCTGATACATTAAAAAATCATATCTAAAACAGCAAAGTCAACACAAAGTGGCATGAACAATCCCCATGCTCACCAAATAACACAACAAAGCCCAACAGAGTACTAACTCAAATAACAGGCTAAAATAGCAACCTATAAATATAAGTTAGAAACATAAACAGCAGTCAACTAAGCTCCGGCCTCCTGCCGCCCGAGGCATCTGCCCCCAAGTTACCTAAACCTGAAATATGTGCCCTAAACGTGGGGTGAGATCTCTAAACAAAAATCTCAGTAAAGTAAGGGGTCCTCAAGGATTTCTCCATCCCAAGCTCACTTACATGTGCAATATAAGTTCTAAAAACAATATACACTATCAGTTCCAAAATCAGTGTAATGCAGCAGATAATCATGTCGTGTGTGTTAATACTATTCTACTGGCCAGAGAAATGCAGGATTTATATACGTCTATTACCCACATTAGTGCAAGACGCCACTTGCACCCACCCACAGGATCACCGTATTGTATGACGCCACATACTCAGGCTTACCGTCTAAGTGGAACAACACATACATATTATAAGCAATTGCACATAAAGCTCAACAACATTTCAAATATCAAAGCATGTAACACATCATGCATATAAACCATTCCTCCATGGGGTATGGTGGAACGACACAATGGCTAAACCAAGGACACGAAAGCTTACCTTGCAAGCTAACTATCCAAGCCAAGAGTCCATACAAGCTCAAAGCCCACAAACAACAAAATCACAATCTGTTTATACAATAATTAATCAACAATAATCATTGCTTAAGATTCCATTAAGTGATTTAGGCTTTCTAACTCATTTTAAGTCATTAGATGCTGTTTTTGCAGGAGGTATTCGAATACTCCTTGATGAGTATTCGAATACTCCTTGTCTCCAGAAAGTATCCGAATACTTTCACTTAAGTATTCGAATACCACAGGGTATCCGAATACTTTTTCCCCCATTATTCGCATACCACAAGGTATCCGAATACCAATACCCAAGTATTCGAATACTACCCAGTATTCGAATACTTATTCAAGGTATCTGAATACTTTTCTTTCCAGAAAAGTATCCCCATACTCCTGCAAGGAGTATTCGACTACCAGAGGACAAGTATTCGAATACTACCCGAAAAGTATTCGAATACTTATCCAACAGAATGCAGAAATTCGAACAGACATCTGCATAATCCAATTTTTAAGGGTCCAAACGTGATTTGGAGTCTAATGACTCCATAAACAGATGTTCATTAACATGTTATGAACTTAGAAACTCAGTCCTTTACTCAAATGATCCAAGTTTTACTTTTTAACCAATTAAACAAGCTTAAACCATCAAAATGACAAAGAGGTGATCATGGCATACCCCATGCTCCAAAAACTCCGAAAATGGCATTGACTTAGAGCCTCCAACACAGCTCCAAGGTACTGACTCTAAGGAACCACGAAAATGTACTACAAGGTTGGACCTTTACACTCAAAGGTGGCTCCTTGAAGCTCAAAATGACAAGAACAAGGCTCCACTAACCCAAACTCAGAATTACAGCCCTTAAACTCCCCAAACCAGAGACCAACAACTTAAAAATAAGCTCACCAACCCAACACAATGGCACCAACTCAGTGTTTACAACCACAATGAGGAAGACTCACAACAAAGGTGGTTTCTTGGTCCCTTTTCATGAGCAAAGGCCAAGGCTTTCAAGAGGAGAAGAGAAAATAGCTGGAGAGAATCAGCCACCAAAACTCACGTAGACACAAAATATGGCCTAGGGTTTTGGGCCCAATTCCTATTTATAGTCTCATTAACTCTAACCACACTGTATTAACAATAATAGCTACGCTTAGCATTTTAATCTCAAACTTTGGAATCTGAACCTACTCATTTTTCTAAGATTTATCATATTTTTATTTTATTTTTCGCAGCACCTTTCAGGTACGCGCTTTTACTTAACCAGTAACAGTTCTGACCCCAGTTCTCATTATTTCGACTTGAAACTTGAAATCACAGTCCTATATATTATTCTAGGAATATTCATGCATTTATTATAATTTTCTGGGATACTTCATCAGTACGCAGTTATACTGTGGAGCAGAACCGGTATCTGTACTTTTCGTCAGAAAAACGATTTTTAACATTATTAATCACTTACCATAATTATTTAAGCCTTCTCATAATTATTAATGTCAATTATGAAATTATATCAATTATCTAATATTATTTAATTAAATTCCTTAATTAACGACGCAGGTTCTTACATTTTCTTTTGAATAAGAAACTCTTTGTTAAATGCTAATATATTGATAAGTGTATCGTTGTGTAAGAAATGTATTTTGTCATGTAATGACTCATGAGAAGTTAAAGTATGATGTTCAAGTTGAATTTTGAATTAAGTATGTATGGATATCTTGTAAGGGCTTTGAGGACTAAGTCAAGAATCCATGGATGGATATTTTAATAAGTAGTATAAATTCAAGGATTAAATAGATGTACACAAGTGCGTATTGATATAATTGTCCATTAGGTTCTTTTTGGACATTTGTATGGCAAAATAATAAAACTCAGACTCCTAACCCAAAGCTTGGAATGCTATTTTTAGCCAGTCATGAAATATTCTGATATTTCATGTCATATATCCGGATATTCCTCAACGAAAATCTAGATATCTGGGCAGGGCAACAATGATCTTAACGTAGTAAAATTGACATATTTTGAGATAGAGTGGTCCAAATTGAATAAAACTTGAACCTGTGCAAAACGAACTTAAATTTCTTCAATTTTGGAAAGTCTTATGAATTATGGATAAGGGACCCATTCCTAGTTTTTAATTTGAAGTTGCTACCCTAATTTTGAAAATCCGGTTTGAAGCGGTTGGTTTGCGACATGTATAACTTGAAATTTACAAATCCAATTGAAGCAAATAATATATTATTAGAAATATTAAAGAGTCTAGTTTGACATATAAAAAAAATCTAGAAACTTTAGAGCTCCCACGAGTTCCCAATAATTTTGTGAAGCAGGCTGAATTGACCGTAGAGGCCAATATAGGACAATTGTCTTGTGAATTGCTTAACTTAGGCTATACTTGGCCACATAACCCATATTGTGGCTTTATGGAAAATTTGAGGTGTCTATTTCATCATATTAAATAATTATAATTTTGCATAAAGCCACGAATTTTCAATTTTAGAAATAGTCAAGGCTATTCAGTGATCAGTTTTGCTCTTATTTATCTATATAAATGGGTCTATGATTATGGAGTTACTTAATTTGGTTATTGGTTTGTGTTTTTTTATCCAACCAAATATGTATATCATTAAAATATTTCGTTTTCTTTAATTATAATTTATTAGGTAAACAAGGAGAATATTAGAAAATCAGTCTTAAACTAATTGAAAAAGTTGTGCTTATAAGGTGTCAAGCACAGTAATATAGTAATTTTTCTCAACTTCTCAGGCAAAATGTTATCGTCTTCATTTTCTCTCTTTAATTGAACTTCCATATTTGAATTTTTGTTAAATTAACGAAAGTAATGTTATAAATGTTGTAAAAGATTAAGTATAATTAATTTGGTTATTGGTTTGTGTTTTTTACACAACCAAATATGTATATCATTAAAATATTTCGTTTTCCTTAATTATAATTTATGGGTTCATTTTTTTTATGGTCAACGTAGATAAGTTATCTACATTGAGCCCAAAACGACGTCGTTTTGAAACGGAAATCAAGGTATTTTTGTAATTATAATTTATTTCAGAGTTATAATAGTCTTTTTCTTTATAATTTTTAAATTTTTCAACTCAAAACGACGTCGTTTTGGAAGCGAATGTAGATAACTTATCTACTTTCACTGTAGAAACATTAAAGGCATAATTTATTAAGTAAACAAGGAGAATATTAGAAAATCAGTTTGGTTATTGGTTTGTGTTTTTTACACAACCAAATATGTACATCATTAAAATATTTCGTTTTCCTTAATTATAATTTATGGGTTCATTTTTTTTACGGTCAACGTAGATAAGTTATCTACATTGAGCCCAAAACGACGTCGTTTTGAAGCGGAAATCCAGGTATTTTTATAATTATAATTTATTTCAGAGTTATAATAGTCTTTTTCATTATAATTTTTAAATTTTTCAACTCAAAACGACGTCGTTTTGGAAGCGAATGTAGATAACTTATCTACTTTCACTGTAGAAACATTAAAGGCATAATTTATTAAGTAAACAAGGAGAATATTAGAAAATCAGTCTTAAACTAATTGAAAAATTGTGAATCCAGTTTCATATCACCCTAATTTTAATATAACTTTTAAATCCCAAAAATAGGAATTCTGGGATGAAGTTTCGATTGCTACGTAAGTTTCCTTAGCTAACTTAACTTTTTAAATTTAGTAACTTGTAGTTTGGAGGGAAAACTTGTTTCTTAAAGGTAGAAACCACTCTCGTAACTCGTAAGAGAATACTTCCAATGTTCTTGTAATGCATATTACACCCAATTTAAATAGAAATACACTCGCTCATCGAACTGCATTTATAAAGTTGCCCAGAAAATGAATGTAAACTCCTCTCCTAACCCCTTAAGTGAGGTGTAAGAACCCACACCGTTAATTAAGAAATTTAATTAATTAATTATGTGAAATTAGGAAATAATTTCATAATTGACCCTAATAATTATTATGAGGCTTAAATAATTATAATAAGTGGGTAATAATGCTGAAAGTCGTTTTTCTGACGAAAAGTGCAGATACCGGTTCTGCCACTCGGTATAAATGCGTACCGAAAAAGTATTCCGGAAAATTATAATAAGTGCATGAATATTCCTAGAATTTTATGTAGGACTTTTAAAACAAGTTTCAAGTCAAAATAATGAGAACTGGTGTCAGAACTGATACTGGCTATGGAAAAGCGCGTAACGGAAAGGTGCTGCGAAAAATAAAATAAAAATACAAAAATCTTAGAAAAATGAGTAGGTTCAGATTCCAAAGTTTGGGAATAAAATACTAAGCGTAGATATTAATACTAATAATGTGTGTTTAAGGACTTAAACCACTATATATACTACGTTTGGCACTAAACCCTAGGCACACCAGCTGATACGTGACTGTTTTTGGAGGGGCTGACCAGTTGCTACTATTCCATTGTCTTCTTCTCCATGTTTGTGTGCCTTGAGGCCATTTCTCCTTTGAATTTCCATCTAAACACCTTAGGTTTGTGTGTTATGACTTTGTGAGTGAGTGGAAGTCTTCATTTTCTGGGTTCAACCACTGCTGGGGTAGGTAGAGTGGGCTGACTTTGGGGAGTTGTGTGGTAGGAGCTTTGTTCTACCATTTTGAGGTCCAAAGGGTGATCTTTGAAAAGAAAGAACCAACATTTGGCCACCATTTTCGTGGTTGAGGGAAGTCAGACCTTAGAGCTGAAGTGTGAGCTCCAAGAGCACCCATAGCTGCTGCTTTGAACCTTGGATAAGTGTCACCACCTTTGATCATGAATTTTAATGGGTAAAAGTGGAGTCTTGCCATGTTTAATGAGTTAAACAAGTAACCAACACATAAATGAACCTGTATATGCCTAAAAATGGATGCTTGGACGTTGGAATGGGTTAAAAACCCAACCTTTAGATTGATATCTCGCGAAAATGCAGAACCGCATTTTGTCGCGAAATATCCGGATATGTATATCCAGATATTGATATCCGGATATGATATCCGGATATTGATATCCGGATATGGGGATCTGAATATCCGGATATGGATATCCGGATATTGGCAGAGAGATATCCGGATATTCTGGGTTTTCATGGACAGTGAAGGTACTGTTCATATAGAACTGAGTTATGGGTTGGTGGACCCTTTGTTGATGAAGCTGAACTTTTGTAATAATTAACTAAGTCAGAATCTAAGTGATTAAGGGCTTGTGGCTTTGTGAGAAGCCTTAAGACGTAAAACGTAAAAGAGAAGCATTGT